CGACACTATGGTGCGACAACCTAGGGGCTACTTATCTTTGTGCAAATCCGGTTTTCCACGCACGCACAAAGCACGTAGAAATCGACTACCATTTCGTTCGGGACAAGGTCGCTTCAGGAGAATTCGTCGTCAATTATGTGTCTACCACGGATCAGTTAGCAGATATCTTCACCAAGCCTCTTTCAGCGTCAAGGTTCGCCGTGTTACGAGACAAGCTCAATGTTGTCTCTCTACAACATTGTGCTTGAGGGGGTGTGTTAGCATGACTAGTATTTTATATTTATTATTCTTATAATGTATAGTCATAGATTAGTGGTTGTAATTCTATTTGACTTAGCTCTCTATTAGTTAGGATTAGTTAGAGATTAGGTCTACGATATACTCTGTAATTCTATCCTTTGTGAAATCTAATCTGAGGTGAATTCTCTAATCCTAATTTATCCTTAATGAATATGATTATCCGTTAACTTTTCCGTTAAATATTATCTTTTCCGTTAGTTTCTGTTAGTTCACCGTTAACTTACTCATTGATTTCAATAAGAAAGGTCTTAGGTTCGAACCTCATCCTAATCAAAGTTGGCATAATTATTATTCTATTTTACTTTTATTAAATTAAATAATAATTTAGTAGCTACAACAAAAAATAATACATATGCATTTCATTATTTTAGAATTATGTGTCTACAATGTCTTTATTCAAAAAAAAATTTATTCATTATCAATAAATTAAATAAGAAAAATAATTTCATTAGTTATATTGTCTTTATTTTTATCCAATATAAAAATTATTTATATTCAAATTCATCGATTGATTATATTCGCTACATTGTCCCTATAATGTCTTTATTAAAAAAAATATTCATTATCAATAAATTAATTAAGAGAAGTAATTTTATTAGTTATATTGTCTTTATATTTCTCCAATGTAAAAACTCTTTACATTTAAATTCATCAATTAATTATATTCACTACATTGTCTATTATCTTTTTTTGTGCACTATTTTTTAATTAAATATCAAAGTTAATACAAAATAATGATATATATTTATTTACCAAGTATTTTATTAATACCATGAAAAAATTAAAGAAAAATATAACTAATAAAGCCAATCATATTAACTACTTGAGTGATTTATTGACAAATATAATATTCAAATCACACAACAAATAGAAGTGAGAACTACCTCGCAATATCCTTCTTTAACAATCAGGAGTTAGCAGTTAGCGTTTGGATTATATTAGCAGATTTGATCAGTGAATTATATCCACAGTTGGTAAAAATATATTTGAAAAAATTATCTGTTTAGATTAACATGTAAAATGACATAATAATAATAATAACAATAACAATAATAATAATAATAATAATAATAATAATAATTATTATTATTATTATTATTATTATTATTATTATTATTATTATTATTATTATTATTATTATTATTATTATTATTTATTATAATTGTTTTAAAAAAATAAAAAAAATATAATTAAGCCAAGCATATTCAAATTACACAACAAATTGGAGTGAGAAACTACCTCGCAATGTCCTTGTTTGGCAATCAGCAGTTAGCTCTTCAATATTAGTATATATTTAATATTTTATGCCCTAATTTTTATTTGCTCTCCTTTATGTCCCGTATTTGGTTTCAACCATACCTATACAATTATTTTATTGACAACTATAATCAATATTGACTATATTATCTTGCATTTTTAAACTTAGAATTACCTATTTAAATACGCAAATTCAACATTTAATTATCTATGCATGAATAATTCTCATATAATCTTGCCTGATATACTTTAAAGTACTTATTAAAAAAAACATTGGGCATTATCTCAATCGCGCAATGCGCGTAAAAAACTAGTGTGTGTATATATATATATATATATATATATATATATATATATATATATATATAAACTGTGGAAGCTAACATTTAAGTAAGGGAGTGTTATGCCACATCTAAGTCATCCAAATCTAAATGCACAGGCTTAACAAAAACCACTATCCATAAAGTCAATAGTATTCCAAAATGACCAGGGATCGAGTCTCACCAGCGGTAGTGTGGGAGCTACCTCTCAAAGTGAGGGGGGTTCCTTGTGCGCAGTGAGCAAAGATCTAGCCTTTGTGGTTCATGTTCAGTTGAGTTACCATGATTTACATCCTCCCAAATGCTCTGTCGGGTTGGAGTGTGGGGGGCCCTTAGAGTTGGGGTTCAACCTTTTGGAAGAATAGTATTCCAAAATGGGCTCACTGGCCAAAATAGTCTAATTACTAAGAAAGGAAACTAAGTCTAGCAAACGGGCTCCAACTAGCGTGCTCTAGAACTGACTAGACTGCACATGAAATCATAAGGTTAGACAACTGTTAGCGATAATACTAAGCAACCCAACTCCAACGCGTTGAAATACATATTCTAATTACGAGTATGAATTCTGTACTTGGAACAAATTAGTAATTGTATCTTATGTTATGAATTTCTGTGTCTTGTGTTTTGAAATTTTGTGCCTATGAACACAAATTATGTACTTAAATCATATTTGAAAAATAAGTAAATATATAACATGTGTATGTGTCTTGTATTATGATTTTTTGTGTCTTGTATTATGAATTGTATCTTACAAGTATGTATTCCGTACATTGCATTTTCAATCAAGTTGGGTCCATAATGCTATGTTATGTGTCTTGTATTGTGATTTTTGTGTTTTGTGTTATGAAATTATGTACCTTACGAGTATAAATTTTGTACCTCATTGTTTCAATCCATGGTCCAAAATGCTATGTGGAGTGTGGACCCTGGTACATGATATAAATTGCCCAAATAGTCTGCACGGGCTCAACTTAATGATTTAGCAATCGTTATACCGTGCACTAGGGCGCACATAGCAATGTGCATGCTTCCCGCGCCTCTCAAAACGATATCGTTTTGGTGCGTTGTTCAAAAAAAATCTATGTTTCGAATATACATAAACTTATAACTGAATATACATAATCTAACATGATACATAATACACAGAAACTCTTAACTGAATACACAGAAACTTTTAACTGAATACACCGAAACTCTTAACTGAATGCACAGAAACTCTTAACTGAATACACAGAAACTCTTAACAGAATACACGGAAACTCTTAACTAAATACACATCAACTCTTAACTGAATACACAGAAACTCTTAACTGAATACACAGAAACTCATAACACAATACACAAAAACTTTTAACTGAATACACATAATGGGGTTTTGGCCGTTTGGACGGACGGAGTGACGTCAGCAATTGAAACGCGTGCATTTTGTGCCTGGGCGCACATTGCTATGTGCGCCCTGGTGCACGATATAAATTGCCCAATTAATCCTTCTCCTCTTATCTTTCTATTTTGTGGGGTCATCTCTACACATGTCATGTGTGGACCATGAATAAAATGTATTTATTTGAAAATATATTATTTGAGTACTGAAGTATGGTACATTATTTTGTATACTATCAAATAATGTACATCCAATACATAAATAATATACCTTTGGTATATTAACAATGTACTTTTTATTCAGGGTTCATATAACTATGTGCACTTCACAACAAAATCTGACCACTATATAATGTCATCTCCTATTTTCTTTCAATTGTTATACCATGAATCATGGTTCACCTTACATTAAATTCTGTCACCCTGGTCAAAAAATTATGTGTTGCAATCAACATATTATATGTATTTAGTTAACAGATTATGTGTCTGTAAGTAAATTGAAAGAGTGTCTACAATGCAAAGTATATCCTGGTCCATGATATAATTTGCCTTTTCCTCTTCTTTTTGTGGGCCCTACACTCCTACACATCATTTATTATTTTATTCACTTTTCAATAATTAATAATTTCAACTTCATAATTATAATTTCAAATTTCGATTTTAAATAATGAAATAAAATAATTTTTGAATTATAGAACATAATTTCATAAATTAATAAAAATATAAATTCTTGAATTAAAATTTGCATTTGAAATCGTCTATGAAACAATTAACATTCAAAATGAATAAAAATTTTAAATACTAAATATACCATTAATTAATAATATAATTAAAAATTTTAAAAATAAAAACTTAAAAAAATACTCCTTAGAATAACAAATAAAAATTTTATATATATAAAAAAAAAAAAAAAAACATATCATCCAACAGCTTGATGTTTTTAAACAAAACAAATTTCCAAAGGACATGTAGACGGGGGCGAGTCAAAAATTGAAAAAGAGAATTGTTCCATTTTCCTTCTTGTTCATCAATCGGAAATCAAGACAACCCGGACACTACGGTAAGACGTAAAAACACCCGATCCCATTCCGACCTCGATATGTGGATCGTCTTGTGCCATATGTGTTGAGATTGTTCGGGAGACATGGTCCAAACCCGGTGAAGAAATTTCAATTTCTTCCTTATTTAGATTTTTTTTTTTTTGAATTCAATTTAGAGGTTCGGGAGCAGGGGCAGGGGCAGTTGTCCCTCGCCCTCTGCGTGTCAATATGACACGTGATCATCACACGCCCGAGATAGTATTTTCAGAGAAAACATTATAATCTCTACGAAGAATACTTTGTCACTTCCCTTTTCTCCCCTCCAATCCTTCGCCCCTTACCCCATTCTTTCTCTCCTCAAAATCAGGTATGGGAGATGCCCTAAGTTAAAGAGACTCTAAGAAGAATTCTAGCTAGTAAGATTATTTAATTTGATTAGGTAAGATTATTTGTCTTGGATTCCTGTTTGGAATTCTTATTTGGCTTGAATTGAGAGGGAGTAGATGAGTGAATCCCCTCTTCACTTACCTACTACTCCCTCTATTATTGCGTGAAAATTGAATACATGTTAGGTATCCATGCATTAACTCCATGCACATCAATTCTAGCATTGCAATTCCAACTTCAATTTCAAGATAGAAAATATAGAATAAAGAATAGAGAATAGAAAGACAGAGAAATGAAAAACTAGAAAAAAAAAAAATGAAAACATGAAAAACAGATAATTGAAGTAAACGACTTTCTGAAAGACAGAAATCACTACAGACTACAAAGCAATGGAGGCATCTGACCAGCCGGTGATGAACAATTGAGGTTCCTAATAATCCTAAGTCTTAAGTTTCACAGTTCATTCACAAACTTATCTGTACAATTCAACTCAAATGAAACATCAAAATGGTCTAACAACTAGACACAAGTCCATAGTTACAAACTAACCACATATTTGCAGTGTCTGAATCATGTTCTAAGACACGGATCGGAGTGTTACTTTAAGGATTGGAACTGGATCGGAGCAGCTTCAGCTAATAATACGATTTCTCTGCAATGGATTTCGGTACTTTCATGCCAAACCCTTGTTTTGCTTTCTCAACCCTATCCGAAAACAACGAGCAAACAATTTATCAGTTAAATAGTTAATAAGATAGATTATGTTACATTGCAAAGTATAATGCAAACAAGGAATCTTGCTTTAATAATGTATTGCCAGAAATAGGAAAACTTACGTTGGGGCAAGTTTGCCAAGGCCATCTAGTTCTTCACCCGTTTGTTCATCCATAACTTTTCCAGATATCTCAACCCGATATGACTTGTTTTTGGTGATTGGAAGACCTCTGCTAGAAAGAAGATTTAGATCTTTCTGATGAAGCTCACGCCCATTCACGAAGACACCAGTATTTCCAGCAGAACAATTTTTTGGCATGGGAAAGTCGAACTCTGGAATATTTGGCTGCAAGGGAGTTATGTGAGGTTAGAAAACAAATTTATCGCCCGCCTGGGCTTTAGCTCACTAGTTCAGTAGACAGTATTTGGGAGAAGATCGAAGAAAACAAATTTATTACTCACAGGAATGATTCCAAAGCAAGGATGACCCATCACACCCCAAAAGCCAGCTCGAACATCATACCTGGCATTTGACAAATGCGTTTATGACATTTTGATGACTATTTAACACCTCAGGTCCACAAAACAGAAGAGCTAAGAGATGAATTTCAATAGATATATAGCGAAAACAAAAATGTTAATTAACTATTTCCTTTTCGGATGTTCTTACCAGTAATCACCTATCTGAACTGGTCCAGCTAAATCTTCTGCCCGTTTAACTTCACAGGCCGGTATAAGTTGCCCGTTAACAAACACATCTGATCTTCTGTCTTCCGAATTCTGAATAGACTTTGATAATTCTTCAGCTCTACTCTTTACAAGTCCTGCAAAGAATTCCTGAGATACACTGCTATTTATAGATTCATTGATTGATATGTCCATCACAGTTTCCACGGGTGCATCTTCCATAGAATTTTGTTGCCCTTCGTTCTCACCGGACCATTTAGTTACCATAATATATCCGTCATCTGAAGAGACATCATCTTTGGAGGGCAACCCCACCGAGAGAGAATGGTCTTTTCCAACCATTACCTCTGGGTTCTTCTCGGGTTCGGAGAAACTAGATGACAACGAACGAGCATCCTGCCTCTTTCCAGATTCATCGTCAGAGCTTGATTTCAGGTTAGCTGGAAGTGGCTCAACCTTAGTACCAGAAAACTCATAGCTAGTGTCATCATAGTTAGAACACGGGTTCATGTCACCCGAGCCATCAGCAAGATCAGCAGACAATTTCGCGATTTGTTTGGGAACTGATAAAGTGATCCCCTTACTACTAAGTTCATATAACATTACGGAAGAACAGGCTCCACATCTCATTTTGTTCTGGTTCTTCCCCATCATCCCGACTTTCCAGGGCAGTTTCAATAGCTCGAAGCAGTTGCAACATGTTATGAAAGGAGCACCACCTGATATAGCTCGACATAATCTTCCACTCCCATGGGCAATCATCGCCTTTCTTGGAGAGCTTTGATGGCCAATATCAAACTTTTCTTGAGCATCTCTTCTATGCCAGTGTTGATTATGTGCGCCAGAAATCTCTGGTGGATATAAAACGGGATTGGCAGGGTAATGTGACCTTTGGTTCCCAAAAGCCAGAGGTGGGATCACAGGAGGAACTCTCGGGTTTTGGTTGAAGCACTGTGAACACGAGCACGAAGTTCGATGAAAAGGGCTTTTGTGTGGATGTGGATTTACATCTATTAACGGATCAGGGTATTCATTATGATACATTTGTGGAAAGCGTGGATTTGGCTCGTAAGCCCTCGTGTTCACTTGTTCATAGTAGGCATTGTCATACTGTATATTTCCATGTCTGTATCGTGTTACAGAATAAGAATCTTGAACAATTGAACCATGTCTGCCCTTGTAAGGAACATCCTCGGCAACATCATAGATGTAGGGAGGTCCCAAAACATGACAACCTTGATCACGGGGTTGCTTGTTTGCACCAAACAAGCCTTGCCTATAAACATCATGGCTTCTATAAGGGTCAAACGGCGTTGAACCCATCCTCGGTTCAATGGCAATCCTTTCTTTAGGATTCTCAGCTACATCGCAAGTTTGGCTAAGTTGATCCTTCAATTCATCAATCCTCCTGAGTAGCTCAGCTCTATCGCTCTCCAAACCCACAACTCTAGTAAAACCATTGAAACCGTCATGGTATCTCCGATAGTCACCAGCGCCATAAGAAGAACGTGTGACATATTCTTGAGACCCCTCCTCCAGAGGTGCAAAGTTCGTACCCCTCTTCTGCCTCGCAACATCCATGGCATTGCCATGAGTACCCAAAGACGCATTCTTTTCCCCAACCCATTTCTCGTTACCAATTCTAGAACCAAATGGCCCCACACGAGGAGCCCGGATCTCTTCAAGATTGCTTCCAACACTAGAATCTACATATCTACCATCATCAAGATCGAGCTCGTCTAAGGAAGAGCCATATCCATCTCTATCGCTTAACCTATCCCTTATAGACTTCTCAACCCTAGTGCGAACCGAAATTGGATTTCGCTTTCCACTTCTAGCCAAAAAATCCCCATTCTCAGATCTTGAAGTTGAACAATTACCCAACTCAGTTTCAGAAACATTGTTTGAACTCATTGCAATGCCCCTTTTACTAGTAACAACCCTACCTTTTTCATCATCAGATATGTCTGAAAATCCACCCTTCCTCACATGCCCTTTCCATTTCGCTGCAACATCCAAAATAACCACAGATCAAACCTCGGAATTCTCGAAAACAAACCTATTACTAACCCCTGATTATGTACTAACTATTACAAAATCGAATTCACATTTCACATCATCCATTAGCATACTCGACAATTTGGGATTTGGGGAACAGTAATTACTATGATCAAAGTAAATAGAAATCACACATTAAGCAAAAACAAAGAAAAAGAAAACCGGGTCAACGGCGGTGGGTAGTGGGTACCTCGGATAACGGCGCCGCAACTGCCACACAGGGAGACAGAGAAGTCCGGCAACTCAGGGAGGACATTTCCACAATCTGGGCATCGTACTATCCGAAACTCCGACGAGGATGAACCCGAAGCAGCTTCTTCCATTTCTCAACTGATTCCCAACTACTACCGAACAAACAGCAAAAACAACAGAAATGGCAACAAGAAAATGCAGAATCGCGAATCAGCGGCGTCTGGAGCTCTGAAGGCGAACTGAAAACATAGTTGGGAACAGAACAGAAAAGAACACGGCTAAATACAAAAGTAAATCCGTGTTTTAGTTTGTCGGCTTTGGGTTTTTTACAGAGAAAAAGGGCGCTCTGACATTTACGCGCGTCCCGAGAAAAGAAAGGATTGGATTCGCCAATTCTGAAAGAAGAATAAATGAGGAATTCTATGGCGTATGACTTCTTCAGCCGTTTCCCGACAATTTCTTACTTTTTTTCATGGAAACGTGTACCAATAGTTTATAAAGTTTATCATTATTACTCCATAATCGTCTTAATTTTTTATCTACAAAAATACCGTAATCGTTTAACTACCGTTAGTTGGAAGGATTTATGAGTCTTCTTGATTCGAACCAATGAGTTATAAATAACTTAAATTGTTGTATTTTCTTGTAGTTCTTTGCTGGCTATGTGCCTATAGTTATAAGGTACACTCTTAAATAAAAATGTTGATTTCTTTGTCTTCATTGGTAATTCTAAATCCTCGACCTAACCAAGACGAATATAGGAAAAAAAAATCGAGAAATGAAGACGGGGATGAGGAATGCTTTTAATTTTCCATCAGAGATGGGGATGGAGATACTCAAATCCCTCGTTCCCAATTTTTAAAATATAATAATAATAATAATAATAATAATAATAATAATAATAATAATAATATTATTATTATTATTATTATTATTATTATTATTATTATTATTATTATTATTAAGGTTGTAGAAAAGTTGTATTGTATTTCAATACTCATGTGTTATATTTTGTATAGAGTTAATACCCAAAATCGTCATCGACTATAGTGGTTTTTCTCAATTTCGTCCTAAACGACTTTGGTGACCTAATATCGTCCCAGACTTTTGTGTTTCGCGCAATTTAGTCCCAGACTTTTGTGTTTTTGCTCAATTTAGTCCATCATTTGTTATTCGGTCCATTTGGTGTTAAATAAATAGACAATTAAGTAATTTTAGTATTGGCATTTCTTTAGTCATAGACATGTGAACTGCGAAATCCCTTTTTTTTACGAATTACTTCCAGAATTACTCCTAAAACTACGAATATAAAATTTGATTTGCAGGTCCGGGAGTAATTCTGGGTGTAATTTGTACAAGAAAGAGGAATTTCGCCCTTCACAAGTTGAAAGTAAAGAGAGATCAATATTGACATTACTGAATTCTCTTTATTTAACACCAATTTGACGGAATAATAAATGGAGGACGAAATTGAGCGAAACACAAAAGTCTAGGACGATATTAGGTCACCAAAGTCGTTTAGGACGAAATTGAGAAAAACTACTATAGTCGAGGACGATTTTGGGTATTATATGAAAACTATTTAAATAATATATTCGACATTTTGATTTTTATTGAGAATTAATGAAGATTTAACTATTCTAAATTAAATTTTTAATATTTAAAATTTTTAACGTAGACATTGTGAATTATACTAGTTTGACTATTATTAAAATAAAAACAATAATTTAATTAAAGTTTGACAGGGGATGAGGATTTTCTGTCCCTAAAAATTTCATGCGGGAATGGGGATGAGCCTTTTTTTTTTTTGGCCCCGTTCTTATAAATAAATGAGACTCTACCAAAAGTATAAGCGCAGCCTTTAAAACAAATACCGTAAATTTGTAAAATATATGATTTTTACTTCAAATAAGTATGAAGGGTGTAACACTAGCTGAATGCAAAAATCACAGTTCCTACTTCAATTCACTTCCAATTTAAATTAAGTAGCTAGGTCAAAAATAAATATCAGTCCTCTAAAAATTGAGGCCTTGTGCTATTGTCCATCTTGCACGTCCTAAAATCACGTCATGCCGATGGGGGAAGATATATCACAGGAATGGGGATAAGAACAGAGATCGGGGTGGGGTTTCGGGGTTGGGGACACTGTATACTCCCCGCCCATGCCCCCACCCCCTCGGTTGATATCCCTACCCTTAGATAATGATTGTAAATTTTGCTAGTCACAAAAAAATATCACTATTGTATTCTATTTTATTTATAATAATTCACATCAATATTGTTCTTAATTTTACAAATACTTTAGAGAAAATTTAAATATTAAAATGCAACAAACAAGTTAAGTTAAGTTAATAATTTAACAAGGTTTAACTTGAGTTATTAATAATATTTTTTTAATATTTCATTTAGTGTTAATGTATATATAAAAATTATATTAAAATTATTATTAAGACAAAAAGAAATTTAAAAATCATTTTTTTTAAAAACAGTTAAAGTTAACAAGAAAAAGTAGTTGCTTTATTGGATAAAGATTAAGCAAGACAAATAAAATAATATAGATGAAATATGATTATTAAATTAACTTAAAGACCTTGTGTTACAATCCTGATAGTATCTCAATAATAAGAAATCTTTTGAATAGGTTTTTTATTCTTAATTGTATTGAATTCAATGTAAGATTTGTAATTTTCAAATTCTGGGTAAGGTTACTTAAAGAAAAGTAATTTATGGGTTGATGATATAGTCCAGTAAAAATTTAGAAATTTAGATTATTTTTTTTAAAAAAATAGTTTGACAAAATGCAACATAGTTTATGTAGGACGGACGTGCAGGTGCAACAGTACAAAATTGTTTGTACGGCACGTTTGTGTTAGATTAAAAAAATTATTATTATTATATTGTTGGATTTGATTACGTTGCAATTGAGAAAAGACGAAACAAGTGGTTCTGGAAATAGAAGGCTTAGTCAACTGCGGTTTCGAAGACTCATAAACGTACGTCTGCTTAAACTACTCGTTTCCGAGTACTCACCAGTCACCATCATTTCATCTTTTTTACCGTTCAAACTTCAAACATCCTTAACAGAAGAAAGATTTTTCTTGATATTTTCAGGCCACACATAAAAAGAAGAATGGAGGAAAAAAAAAACAATTATTTTAGAAAAAAAAAAAAAATAGATAACTGGAGAAATGGAGAAATGAAAAAACAGATAAACGAAGTAAACGATCCCTAATTACTTCTTTTTCCTCCACCTCTCTCTTACACTTCACGATCTCTCCCGTCTATCTTGGCAAGAAAAAAAACTCTAAAAAATTATAAATAGGAATACTCTAAGACTCCTAACATCAAAAATACAAATGTGGGGTGATTATTACTTCCTCTATCTTATTTTATATGTCTTACTTATTATTCATTGGTTAAACCAACTCTTTTTTTTTTGTTCATTTTTTTTAGTTTTTTTTTGTTTACTTATTTTTAAATTTAATTTTTTTTTTTGTGTTTAATAGTACTTTTAGTGTAGTTTCTAAATATATAAATTTTGCATACTAATACTGATAGTACTAATATCCACATGTATGCGGTCAAAGTACTGAATGAGAACAAGTAATAATAATAGAAGGGGATTTTATTGATCAGAATGTGACCTAATACAATCTAAATGGTTATCCCGAGGGCCGACTGACTGCGGTCGGGCTACTCTGTAAATAACCTATTGATCGACCAAAAGTCCCCCTCACTGTAGCCGCCGTGGGTATTTATAGCCTTTGGCCGAAGACAAACCTCTGGCCTACCGACATGTAACCCACGTAATGTCCACGCGTCTTCACCCTGCAAGCCTTCTCTGTCAATGCATAGCATCACCACGTGCCTTTCCCAAACATCTTTGTCTCTTTGTAAAGTAAAAGCATGATGACCGGGAGCTAACAACGGTCGAGAAGTCCACCGGTCGGGTCCGACCGCCTTGTCTAAACGACGCCCGACCTAAAGATCCTGCACAAACGACAAGATGAACCCAACTTATGTCGGTCAGGATATATCCTACCAAATACTAAACTTAATATTATAAAAAATTAGATTAAAAATAACTTCAGTCGAGCCTCACCGAACCAGACACATAAAATGGGATGGAGGTAGTATTTTAATTTCGAAGTTATTAAAGTAATTTACTTTAATATTAAATAAGAATAATTTATATTAAATTTTGAGGTTTCAATATCTCAATCCACTTGCAAAACTAGCTTGTCAAGTTGTGAGCATTCAACCGAAAACTACACCAAACTTCTTAAATAGAACACTTTTTTTTATTATTATTATTTTAAAAATCTGACAACTAGTTTCGTGTTGTCACGTTTTGTGATTAACGTTTAATTTGTCCTAATTTAGTTTTTTTCTTACATTTTGACGTTATACTTCTAAATCATTTTACTTTGAGTTTTGAGATAATATGATTATTTATAATTTTAATTAAAGGGGTGTTATTGTGGACTTTACTGGATAGATTTGTCTAACCCAAACTTACTTAATGCGGGTTGATGGCGCACCCCATAAGAGAGCTAGTTTTAATATATATATATTTTCAAAAAATAAATATATTACATAGTGTATTATATTTTAATATATAAATAGGAAAATTACTATAAACTATCTCCAACATAAGAATTGTGCACAAAATATGGGTTGTTCATCTTGGGTATGTGTGTGAGTGTATCAGTGTATGGCCGTTTTTTCTTTCTTTTAATAACTATTTACCTTTTTATTTACATAGGAACGCTTTGGTAATTTCGGTTTGTGTTTAGAAGGCTTGAATGATTATACACGGATGTTATGTTTGCTTTTAGAAGTTTAATTTATAGTAAATTAATTAGAATTTCTTTGCAAATATACTGTCCTTCTTGCAGGGTTCTTTCTCCATTTTGCTTTTGATTTTCTTCTTCTATATTTCTTTTATTCAACCATGGACTCAAGTTGATTTTTTTTTTTTTAATTATCTATCATTTGAGCATAATATTGTCTATATCTGTGATTAACATGTGTGCAGATTTCGCAAGCAATGTGTTACTTATGTGTATTGAACAGTTAGAGTCTTACTAAGCTGTTAGAGGTTGTTATGCCTATTCTTTTGGTTATTTTCTAATCTCTTCATGTATAAATAAGCTCCAGCAGGGTGTGAATAAATACAATACAAAATACACTTTACCAATCTGGTATCAGATTAGCCACTCGATCCTCATGGTTACCACCACCCCACCTGCCCCTGATGTGTCTGGAGACTCCACTGCCGTTGCCACTGCGACGGAGGTTCGGCCACCGACAACACTGCACCAAGCACATCACCATGTGTCTCTCAAGCTTACATCAACGAATTATCTTTTCTGGAAGGCTCAAATTGTGCCCTTCTTGCGCGGACAGA